ACGTAACAGGGAGCGGCTGATGAACTGCCCCTTGATGCAAATAAACTTTCAACTGTAATAGATGAGGCTGCCTTTCCTGATGGATGACACATAGCGAAGAATGAGATATAGGAGACAGGTAAGAGCAGCAGCAGCAGTTCTGCTGGTCAAAAGTTACTGGAGTTTTAAATAAATATGGAAAGGTATTTATAAACAACATAGCCACCACAGTAACATCCGGAGGACATAAACGAGTCACCACAGTAATTACGCTCCACTGCCAATCAATACGAGACCCAAACAAGAATATGACATCAACAGAGCCACCATTAACACAGGAAAAGTCATCAGGGATAGCAACCAGGCAGGCACAACTTTATCCATAACGAGACCGTGATCTTCAGGGAGGAGAGGTGGCCAGGTACACCGTGAGCAAAGCTACTTTGTAGGTTCTTAGTGCTGGTGGAAAGATGATCCTAGGAACTGGGGGTACCTTCCTCCTAGATCAAACCCAATTACCTCTTACCCCCCCCCCTCTTCCATTTTCCAGGAGCTGCCAGTCCCTTTCGGGTTTAACGTTTCCCCATGAATATGATCACCCTTCACATATTCTCAAGTATTCTTCCTACTGTTCTTTAAAGTGATTTTTTTGATAAGCTAGCAGTTCTTCTTGTGTTCACATCAGTTCTTCACGTAGGTGTTATCAATGGTATGGCTGTCAACACAGGTGTTGTAAATGTTCTCCAGGTGTTCTCAAGTGTTTAGTTCTTCGAAAAATATATATATGTGGAAGAGGTGTTTACAGAGGCGCTCTCCTTATAGATGATAATATAGCTCTTCCCACTGATATTACTTGGTAGACTTCCTGATACAGGTACCTGTAAAATACCAGTAATACCTGCAGATATTAAGAGCACAGAGTTCTACCAATAGATGTGAATCTTGTACCACCTAAAACTCCGCATTTGTTTAATTTACAGATGTGTATTCATTTTCTCTCCTTGTTCGAGTGTGTGTTTATGTTCCACCCAGTAATGTGTATCCGTATCACAAAAGTTGGTGTTATTGCCAGGGGAACAATTTACAAATAACCCGCACATAGGAGAGAGGAACTTACCACGACGTATAGGTCCGACTTGGACCATTTACAAAGCCACACGGTGACTTTGTAAATGGTCACGGTATTATGCCTTTTTGTTCTTCAAAGGAACAACTGTTTCGTGACACCTTGCGTCATCACGTGTTAATATGTTACAAAATTAACGAATATAAAGAAAACTTACAAATGTTCAAGAAATGTCAAGGTATTTTATCCACAGTAACATATCAGTCAGTCTGGAAATAATATCCAGACTTTGCCTATTGTAAACACTTTAATAACACTTAAAGGAGTCAAAGTGCGTCATACGTTGCCAAATAATGTATGACTTTTAACAACATAAATACACTAATGTTTCGTGTTTGAATTTATTACCAAGTAAATCTGAAAAACAGTTTATTAACATTAACTCAACTTTGTACTCTTCTGTTATCTTTTGTCTACCACTTCCAGCAGGAGTACATAGTGAGTACCACCCACTGCATGAGTATGTGGTGAGTACCACCCACTGTATGAGTATGTGGTGAGTACCACCCACTGTATGAGTATGTGGTGAGTACCACCCACTGTATGAGTATGTGGTGAGTACCACCCACTGCATGAGTATGTGGTGAGTACCACCCACTGTATGAGTATGTGGTGAGTACCACCCACTGTATGAGTATGAGGTACCACCCACTGTATGAGTATGTGGTGAGTACCACCCACTGTATGAGTATGTGGTGAGTACCACCCACTGCATGAGTATGAGGTACCACCCACTGTATGAGTATGTGGTGAGTACCACCCACTGCATGAGTATGAGGTACCACCCACTGTATGAGTATGTGGTGAGTACCGCCCACTGCATAAGTATGAGGTGAGTACCGCCCACTGCATGAGTATGAGGTGAGTACCACCCACTGCATGAGTATGTGGTGAGTACCGCCCACTGCATGAGTATGTGGTGAGTACCACCCACTGTATGAGTATGTGGTGAGTACCGCCCACTGCATAAGTATGAGGTGAGTACCGCCCACTGCATGAGTATGAGGTGAGTACCACCCACTGCATGAGTATGAGGTACCACCCACTGCATGAGTATGTGGTGAGTACCACCCACTGTATGAGTATGTGGTGAGTACCACCCACTGTATGAGTATGAGGTGAGTACCACCCACTGTATGAGTATGTGGTGAGTACCACTCACTGTATGAGTATGTGGTGAGTACCGCCCACTGCATGAGTATGAGGTGAGTACCACCCACTGCATGAGTATGAGGTGAGTACCGCCCACTGCATGAGTATGAGGTGAGTACCACCCACTGCATGAGTATGAGGTGAGTACCACCCACTGTATGAGTATGTGGTGAGTACCACCCACTGTATGAGTATGTGGTGAGTACCGCCCACTGCATGAGTATGAGGTGAGTACCACCCACTGTATGAGTATGTGGTGAGTACCGCCCACTGCATGAGTATGAGGTGAGTACCACCCACTGCATGAGTATGAGGTGAGTACCACCCACTGCATGAGTATGAGGTGAGTACCACCCACTGCATGAGTATGTGGTGAGTACCACCCACTGCATGAGTATGAGGTGAGTACCACCCACTGCATGAGTATGAGGTACCACCCACTGCATGAGTATGAGGTGAGTACCACCCACTGCATGAGTATGTGGTGAGTACCACCCACTGCATGAGTATGAGGTGAGTACCACCCACTGTATGAGTATGTGGTGAGTACCACCCACTGCATGAGTATGAGGTGAGTACCACCCACTGTATGAGTATGTGGTGAGTACCGCCCACTGCATGAGTATGTAGTGAGTACCACCCACTGTATGAGTATGTGGTGAGTACCGCCCACTGCATAAGTATGAGGTGAGTACCACCCACTGCATGAGTATGAGGTGAGTACCACCCACTGCATGAGTATGAGGTACCACCCACTGCATGAGTATGAGGTGAGTACCACCCACTGCATGAGTATGTGGTGAGTACCACCCACTGCATGAGTATGAGGTGAGTACCACCCACTGTATGAGTATGTGGTGAGTACCGCCAACTGTATGAGTATGTGGTGAGTACCACCCACTGCATGAGTATGAGGTGAGTACCACCCACTGTATGATGAGGTGAGTACCACCCACTGTATGAGTATGAGGTACCACCCACTGCATGAGTATGAGGTGAGTACCACCCACTGTATGAGTATGTGGTGAGTACCGCCCACTGTATGAGTATGTGGTGAGTACCGCCCACTGTATGAGTATGAGGTGAGTACCACCCACTGCATGAGTATGAGGTGAGTACCACCCACTGTATGAGTATGAGGTACCACCCACTGCATGAGTATGAGGTGAGTACCGCCCACTGCATGAGTATGAGGTACCACCCACTGCATGAGTATGAGGTGAGTACCGCCCACTGCATGAGTATGAGGTACCACCCACTGCATGAGTATGAGGTGAGTACCGCCCACTGCATGAGTATGAGGTGAGTACCGCCCACTGCATGAGTATGAGGTGAGTACCGCCCACTGCATGAGTATGAGGTGAGTACCGCCCACTGCATGAGTATGAGGTGAGTACCGCCCACTGCATGAGTATGAGGTGAGTACCGCCCACTGCATGAGTATGAGGTGAGTACCACCCACTGCATGAGTATGAGGTACCACCCACTGTATGAGTATGAGGTGAGTACCGCCCACTGCATGAGTATGAGGTGAGTACCACCCACTGCATGAGTATGAGGTGAGTACCACCCACTGCATGAGTATGAGGTACCACCCACTGTATGAGTATGAGGTGAGTACCGCCCACTGCATGAGTATGAGGTGAGTACCGCCCACTGCATGAGTATGAGGTGAGTACCACCCACTGCATGAGTATGAGGTACCACCCACTGTATGAGTATGAGGTGAGTACCGCCCACTGCATGAGTATGAGGTGAGTACCGCCCACTGCATGAGTATGGGGTGAGTACCGCCCACTGCATTAGTATGAGGTACCACCCACTGCATGAGTATGAGGTGAGTACCACCCACTGCATGAGTATGAGGTACCACCCACTGCATGAGTATGAGGTGAGTACCGCCCACTGCATGAGTATGGGGTGAGTAACGCCCACTGCATGAGTATGGGGTGAGTACCGCCCACTGCATGAGTATGGGGTGAGTACCGCCCACTGCATGAGTATGAGGTGAGTACCACCCACTGCATGAGTATGAGGTGAGTACCACCCACTGCATGAGTATGGGGTGAGTACCGCCCATTGCATGAGTATGGGGTGAGTACCGCCCACTGCATGAGTATGGGGTGAGTACCGCCCACTGCATGAGTATGGGGTGAGTACCGCCCACTGCATGAGTATGGGGTGAGTACCGCCCACTGCATGAGTATGGGGTGAGTACCGCCCACTGCATGAGTATGGGGTGAGTACCGCCCACAGTATTAGCATGGGGTGAGTACCGCCCACTGCATGAGTATGGGGTGAGTACCGCCCACAGTATTAGCATGGGGTGAGTACCGCCCACTGTTTAACTATGGGTACACAATAAAGTTACCAGACAACACATGCTAACAGGCAGGTGTTCTCGTCACATATAATGCCTAAACAGATGTTTTCACTTGTATAAAGTCTTGAGAGCAGGTGTTAGAAAAACATCTGCCATTATACCCCCCTTTCCCCCCTAAAAAAAAAGATTGAGGAAAGTATAAACCCAAGAGTGAAGAGTCGCTAAACCTGTAAGGGTCATACAGTTATGAATTTACATTATTTTAAGGGGGGTGCCTTCATACTGATAAAGGGCTCTTGATCCAAGGAGAACTGAAGCTACTCTCCCCTTCCTTGGGTTAAACCCGATTACCTCCGAGGCGCTGTATGAGCCTTACGGTCTAACAGGATGACTACACAAGAGTAAGAGTGGGTGGGTGACCTCTGCTGCTGGTCTGGCTTGCAGGCGCTGATCTGCTCCAGGATCTGCTGCATGATGTTCTCGCTTGACTCCACCACTGACACAGTTGACGCTCCCTGGCTCTGTGGCACCTGCCGGAGATACCAACTCTCTCAGTGCCACTCCGGGCTGCAGGGAGGGAGGGAAGGAACTGATGATGTAGACTGGAGGGGGGATGATGGTGGTAGGTTGGGGAGGGTGGTAGGTTGGGGAGGGTGGTAGGGGGGAGGGGGTGATGGTGGTAGGGGGAGGGGGTGATGGTGATAGGCTGGAAAGGGATGATGGTGGTAGGCTGGAGGAGGGGGTACTGTCTGGGGCTTCTCGGGTGATAGTGATAGGTAAGGATTTGGGATGATGGTGATGGGAGAGCTTTTGTTGTGATAGTGTTGTAGCCTGGCAACTTAAAATCATATTTTCAGTACGTGGTTACAGACCGAAGAAAAGCATCTTCTGTTCTCCTTGCATTATATATGACCATGAATTTTTGATGGGGAGAGCAATGCTCCAGGTCATTCTGGGGCAGCCTAATGACCAACAAAAAAATAAAAACCCGGAAAAAATACACCATCTGTATGACACTTAGAATAGCACGAAGACATATCTTGTGCTCAGATTAGAAAGTAGTCACTGCTGGTTGACAAGAGGAATCAGTGTTCATTACCTTGAAATAACTCTTATTTATGCTGGTTTGTTGAGCTGTCTTAATGGAACAAGATTCAGTGAAGCTCAGACGTCTCTCTCTCCCTGTGTCCTGGAGATAAATGGTGGACAGTAAACAGGACAGGTGAAACACACACATATACAAATTATAACTTTTGGCATGCTCACCAATACAAGAGACTTTTTCAAATTTGACGAAACGTTTTCCAGATAAACATTATGCTCTGTATGTGTATATTTCACCCAGGATATCCTGATCAACTGCAAGACAACACCATCAACTGGAGCCAATAACCTACACTCACTAGACTATGAACCACCACTGACAATATACAGTACACTGATGTGCGTTCATACACAGACCAGGTCCAGCAAGTTGCTCCGACAGGTCATGGGCTTCGCTCTCAGTATAAGCCAAGACCGAATCCTGCAGGGTGAGATTCACCTGGCAACTTCAGTTTGTCAACAAACAAGCAGCAAGGTGTCGTGTGTCGTCCCCTCTACTGCAACACGTACTCTTCACAGTAGATGGTTTGAAAAACCTTGACATCAGTCCATCAAGCACCACTGCCAAGGATTCCTTCCAAGGTATAGGAATCAGCCTGTTTCAGTTCCCGGCCAGGTCCAACATGGGAACTTGTCAGGATGGAACAACCAATGTAACACTTGCTGCTGGATACCTTAACTACCGTATCAGTTCTTAAGGACCACATATCCTCCCTGAACCTTCTGGTACGAACGTTGGAGCCTAGGACACTTACAAGACAGCAAAGTGAAGGGAAGGTGTGTTGGAGCAGCCATTAGACCCAAGTCAAAAGAAAGATCTGGAAAAGCATCAGAGTAGATTGGCCAGTCTACCATGACTCCCGACAGCATGTGACAGATGAGCTACAGGTGCTGTCACTCAACTCTTGCCCCTGTGTCATAAGAAGGCAGCAACGGCTGCAGTGATCAAGCATGGTATGAGAGTACGGCATTAAGCCACACTCTCCCTCGCCTCACGTCACATTCCAGTGACGACACTAAATGCTGCCCCCTATACCCTGGCAAACACGTTCAGTGAAATTGGCCAGAGATCCTGGCAGAGGACCACTGCGTCATGTCCTGAAACCTACACATTGAAATAGCTGTCTAATGACATTTAGCTGATCCATAATTTTTAAAAGGGTGGATCATTAAGCCAGCAAAAGGCCTGGGTCAGATGACCAAAAAGTTCCATCTGCGGAAACACTTGTCAGGAAACACATACGAGTATTGTGTACCGCAGCTGTGTGTGCAACACCCGTGCAACTGACTTATTAGTTTATCTCTTGCTAATATCCTGCATAATTTAATTTTTGTGATAAGGTGATTAAAAAACTTTAAAATGCTCAGTCACGCCAGTTCATTTTTTTAGATGTCAAATTTCGTGGTACTCATCAAAATACTGAACAGGCTAACAAAGTGAACACAAAAAAACTGGGTGTTTTGATTTAGGGTAAAGGTGGGATCTTCGGGGTGATGGGAGGGATGTTGATGGTGATGTTTTAAGAGTGATAGTGGCGTTTTGAAGGTGACTGTGGGACTACGAGAGTGGCAGTGGGATTACGAGTGACAGTGGGATTACAATGGTGATAGTGGGATTATGAGGGTGACATTGGGATTACGAGAGTGACAGTAGGATTACGGGAGTGACAGTGGGATTACAAGGGTGAAAGTGGGATTATGAGGGTGATAGTGGGATTATGAGGGTGACAGTGGGATTATAAGGGTGACAGTGGAATTACAAGGGTGACAGTGGGATTACAAGGGTGAGTTGGGTCTTTGACATCGACTACAGTGGGAAGGGTAGTTGACTACCTCTGTGGTCTCTCTACAGAGGTGGAGAGACTACAGGGTTGTATCTACAGAGGTAGACAGTGACAACAGAAGTAGTGTGACTACAGGGATAGACAGTGGGACTTCAGGGGTTGACAGTGACTTCAGGGGTTGACAGTGACTACAGGGGTAGACAATGACTACAGGGGTAGACAGTGACTACAGGGGTAGACAGTGACTACAGGGGTAGACAGTGAATAAGGGGTAGACAGAGCGACTACAGGGGTAGACAGTAACTAGAGGGGTAGACAGTGATTACAGGGGTAGATAGAGTGACTATAGGGGTGGACAGTGACTACAGGGGTAGACAGTGAATAAGGGGTATACAGTGACTACAGGGATAGACAGTAACTAGAGGGGTAGACAGAGTGACTACAGGGGTATACAGAGTGACTACAGAAGTAGACAGTGACTACAGGGGTAGACAGTGACTACAGGGGTAGATAGTGACTACAGGGGTATACAGTGACTACAGGGGTAGACAGAGTGGCTACAGGGTTAGACAGAGTGACTACAGGGGTAGACAGTGACTACGGGGGTATACAGTGACTACAGGGGTGGACAGAGTGACTACAGGGGTAGACAGAGTGACTACAGGGATAGACAGAGTGACTACAGGGATAGACAGTGACTACAGGGGTAGACAGAATGACTAGAAGGGTAGACAGAGTGACTAGAAGGGTAGACAGAGTGACTACAAAGGTAAACAGTGACTACAGGGGTAGACAGTGACCACAGGGGTAGACAGTGACTACAAGGGCAGACAGAGTGACTACAGGGGTAGACAGTGACTAAGGGGTAGACAGAGTGGCTACAGGGGTAGACAGAGTGACTACAGGGGTAGACAGAGTGACTACAGGGGTAGACAGAATGACTAGAAGGGTAGACAGAGTGACTAGAAGGGTAGACAGAGTGACTACAAAGGTAAACAGTGACTACAGGGGTAGACAGTGACTAAGGGGTAGACAGTGACTACAGGGGTAGACAGAGTGACTACAGGGGTAGACAGAGTGACTACAGGGATAGACAGTGACTACAGGGGTAGACAGAATGACTAGAAGGGTAGACAGAGTGACTAGAAGGGTAGACAGAGTGACTACAAAGGTAAACAGTGACTACAGGGGTAGACAGTGACTACAGGGGTAGACAGTGACTACAGGGGCAGACAGTGACTAAGGGGTAGACAGAGTGACTACAGGGGTAGACAGAGTGACTACAGGGGTAGACAGAGTGACTACAGGGGTAGACAGAGTGACTACAGGGGTAGACAGAGTGACTACAGGGGTAGACAGAGTGACTACAGGGGTAGACAGAGTGACTACAGGGGTAGATGGTAGGGCATCAGTAAAACACTTGAGGTTTCTTAACAAGAAAAATCACAGGAATGTAACAATTGTATCTAGCTTGTC